TGGTTTGGTGAAAAATTTGTGCGTTTAGGCCAGGGTTCGTCTTCGTGTGGACGGGGCCTCATTCCTGTTTCCTCAGTCCTGGACCTCCTTCCTGATCTCAATAAACATTTCTAACCTTTTCTTGACTCTTGGGTGTGCATGCATATACTAATTCAAGTAATGGAATCAGATTGGATGTGAAAAATTTTGGATTGTTAGTCCATAACAATAAAATAAAGTGGATTTTGGAAAAAAATAAAATGGCGTATCCCTTCCTTTCACAGCCAAGTTATTCACTATTTGGTGCTGGTCTATTAAAATCACAATAAAATATAAAGATTATGGTTACAAGCCAATGAAAAGGAGGTTTCTGAATATTTTTTTATATATATGTATATATATATATATATATATATATATATCTGACAGATTAATGTTGGTGCTTTTATCTCTCTCATTTAAATGAACTAAAAAGAAAAAAATGAAAAGTGTTTCATGTTTTGTGTCTTAATGTATTTAGTCTCCCTGATCACTTTGAACCACTACAGATAAATTATATTTTACCATTTCTGAGAAGTATCGGCCCTCCTCACAGCGTGGGTAGCAGACTTTGTCCCTCAGAGTGCTCCCCGAGTCGCATGTCAGGCAGCCTTGAGGCGAAGCATCTGAAATCACATGTAATCACACTATTCTTACACAAATGGGAAAATGTATCCTCAAACATTGACACATCAGAAAGACAGGTGGTTGATCCTGTAGATGGAAAATACAGCTTATCATTGACTTAATCAGGAATAATATATATAACACATCAAGCCTGTACCTGTGCAAGTCTGACAACTGGTATGGCACTGTTTGCAGATGTCATCAACCTGATAGAAGCGGTGGGGGCAGCGTTCGACACACAGCTTGGTGCCTTGTAGCTCCAACAGAGGAGGGAGACAAGCCCTGCAGGATTCAGGGCCTGGTCCTGAACACAGCTCGCAGGACGGGTCACATTTTTGGCAGTGAGAGCCCTGTTTGTAATACCTAAAGAAATACATAGATGACAATTTAGTACAAAAAACATATACATACATATTTATATATCCATCCATCCATCCATCCATCCATCTTCTCCTGCCTATTCAATCAGGGTCATGGTGCGGTTGGTGCCTTTCTCCGGCAGTCTATGAGCGAGAAGCGGGGTATACTCTAGATTGGTCACCAGTCTGTTGCAGGGCAATACAGAGATGAACAAAGCCATACAATCATTCACGCACACATTCACACCTAATGGCAATTGAGAGCTGCCAATCAACCCAACAATAATGTTTTTAGACTGTGGAAGGAAGACCCGGCGAGAAACCACACATGCACAGGGAGAACATGCAAACTCCATGCAGAAAGACCCTGAACTGACCCCAGCATGTGTCTGATTTGAAAAAAAGCTGATGACATGTGCTGCCTTTCAACCTAATCACAACTTTGGATGAAATTTTGATTTCAGAAGTGAGGGGACACAAGTATTTTTTAATATAACTAACTTCAGCGTGTTTGACCATCCAATTACAGACCCGATTCAAAAAATTTATGTAAAGTGAGGTTCTGAGGAGTGACAACGGTGACAGACAATCACACAAGAAAAGATGGAGGGCCATTCATGAGCTTGTAGGCGGTCTAAACTCAGGGAAGCGGGTTTCAGCTTGAGCTGCAGTTTTCAACTTGGTCCTAGTGCTCGATGAATGTCTTTGTACTGTAACATTGTTTTTGGACAGTAAAACGTGCAGGAGACCAAAACAGACTTTTGAAAAAGTGCAGGGGACATGTTCCCCCCTGTCCCTTTTAAAAATGACATCAATGATCATAACCCTTCAGTGCGAACTAAATTTAATCAGATCAAGCTTCATTTTCTTACCCCGGGGGACAGTGGAGGACGCAGAGCTGTAAGAGCCTCAGGTATCCAACAGAGCATGTCAGGCAGTCTCGAGGTGAAGCCCCAGTGCAAGTGGAGCAGACATGGTCACAGGGCAAACAGAGTCCCAGCTCCTGTCCATCAGCTTCCTGCCTTGTGGAGTATGTACCAGCAGGACATTCATCCACACAGCTACTGTCTAGAAAATAAAATAAAAATATATATATATATATTTCATTATGGTTCTCAGGATTCTTCTGCATCTCTTCTTCTTATTGTGTATCAAAAAAACCCAAAACAATTCTGTATGAGTTGTCTATCTTAACAGCCCTCTAAGGTGTGGTAGAAAATCTTTTTTTGTATAAAACAAAAAACGGAAAACCATAAAAAAATGATTAAAACTGCACAGTAGATGCTAATACTACGACTACATTGGAACGGAACTTTCAATGAGCTGCAAACATAGAGCTATATATAACAGCGGCTGGCTAGCTCAAGTGGTAAGTCCCCTGTCCTGCCTTAGGAAAGATGCTTTACGCTAATGTCTGCTTTCAGGAGTGGAGGCCTAGTGGTTAGGGCGTTGCGCTTGGAATCCTGAGGATCTGTTTTCAAGGCCCACTAACACAGACTTCCACTCTGGGTCTCTGAGCAAAGACCCTTAACCCCACACTTCTCCCCGGGCGCCGCACAATGTCAGCCCATTGCTCCCCAATGGGATGGGTTAAATGCAGAAGCGCTCTCTACCTGTGACAGTGTAATGACAATAAAATGCTGGAAAACAAAATATCATTATTAAGCCAATAAGAAAAGTGGGAGGTATGTGAAACCAAACAGAGCCTTGCAGCTTCTATAGAACTTGAAAAGGTAAATAAGCACATCCTTTAAAATAACATGGTTATCAAGCATGCACTTCAATGTTTTTAATTGGTAAGAAACTTGAACCTTATCTATACAGCAAAAAGCTGTATAAATAGGGTTTGGTTGGTTTGAGGTAAACCGAAGTCTGGATTGTCTGGCTCATTTGTAACGCAACAAAAAATCTAATATTTCTTTCATTCCTAGTTACAGTAAAGGGCTTGGATAAAGACTAAATAATGCTAGACTAGATGTAGACTTAGTTCATTAATCTCTCATTAAAAAGATGTATCCTAAGTCCTAATTTTCTACAAAGATTGTAGTAAAGATTACAAAAGATGCACCTGATCAAGTTAGACTTCCAGTGAAACTTAAATACAGGACATCCTGGTTGGAAGGCAGAAGTGTTAGAGATAAAGCTCACCATCTGCTTTAAGAAAACATTGGCTCATTGTTTATTATATCAACAACATAAAGTGTGAGAAAGATAAACCCAACAGGAACAAGGAGTCTTTAACAGAATGGTTGGCACAGAATAAAGTTACTTGATCTAGGAGCCCAAGGGCTTTTTAGGCTTTTTAAAAACCTTGTAAAAGAGAAACCATACATGTATATAGAACATGGAAATTCAATGCAAAAGGAATTGATAATTAAGCCTTCTTTGTGGAAAGCAAGAGAATTGTGGAGGTCCACAATTCTCTTTGTTGCTTTGAAATTCATCCACATTTGTGTCTTCATTTGAGCTGTGAGTTACCTTATCAGAGGCAAAAACAAACCCAACTCATCAGTATCTGGTCTTTTGCAACATTTAGAGGAACTCTAATCTCAACGTATGTATGAGTAACAGAGTGCAGTTTGATTCAATGTCACACAGTGAGAGAAAATGTTTATTTGTATCCTTTCTGCACCGTATAGGATGGAAATATTCGGTTTCAGTTGAAAGAGTTTAAATCAGTTTCATTTTCTTTGAAGACTGTGAAGGATTACATCTATGATTATTTGCCAATATATCCTAAAAAAAGATTAACTTTTCTTCTGGAAGCTTGACTATTGTTTTTTATTTTACCCCTTGTGTTCATATTTTAAAGATGGAAGCAGCAGAAACCAAGTAAGGAGCCACCTCTAATGTATCCATCATAAAATTGATCATCTGAAGTAATTAGTAGTGTGTTTATTATCTATGTTGTGTAATTCTTTTAGAATCTTAAAATGGGTAGAAAACACTCACTGTGAAGGTATCTGGGGGCGGCACAGGTCAGACACTCATCGTTGCCAGGGCCCTGACAGGAATAACAGTGCTGGTGGCAACCTATGCAGGTGAACTGATCATCGTGCAGGTAAGTTCTCGTTGGGCAGGTCCCGTCGCCTGTGACGCCACACAGTAAAGTGTTGGGATCCAGTACTAGTCCCCTCTCGCACTGGGTGCACTGGTTTGGGTCTGGGCCACTGCAGCTCATGCACGTCTGGTGGCATTCTGCAGAGTCAAAGAGGTCAGACAACAGTTTTTCCTTTGCTTTTGTTTTTTTGTTGCTTTTTCCTTCTCCATAACTGCACAGGTATTAGGAAAGAAACTCCTATCTTACACACAGGAATAGTTAGTCCAGTGGTACAAACCTTGGGATTCTAAATCTCCTTTAGTAAAGGTTAAAGTTCTTGTTGTGCAACATGCAAATAGAGAAATATATTCTGTATGAATCGGTTTATTTGCTTTGGGTTAGGAAGCGGCTTCATCTTTAAAGAAATGCTACCGGGTTTTGAGGACCTCCCTCATCTTTGTGTTGTCCACTGTCACTAACATGCTAAACAGCTTTTGTCCACATGCTGTGTATCTTTGTTTGTGCCTGTTAAGACAGGTCTGACAGATGCCATTTGGGGAATATTAAATGCTGCAATGTTCAGTAACCTGCTGTTGTTTGAGGTTACCATCATGTAACCAGCTACAAGCACTTAATGATAAGTATCCAGAGTTGTTACCTCTCTAGAAAACCTTTCACAAGTCTATCTTTATTTTTAATCACACGATAGTCACCTCTGTATTGTAAGCTTTTTAATAAAGGTAATTCAATTATGCAGATATTTTAAAAAAATATGATAAAAACCTAAAGCCTTTTAATTTTTTTTATTTTTATCTTGAATCTAAAAACATCAGAAACAGACGTGTTTTATCTATCTATAATATATGCTAAAGAGAAAGTAGCATGACAAAAAATACAAAACAAAAACCTTTAAAACTTAGGAAAGGTGCATCCTCTTTTTTGGGGGGAAGCAGTATGAATTTTAAGACACTAACGATTTCATTCTTTTTTCACAGAGCTGAAGTATCCACTTAATATACCCTGAATTCTGTCACCTTTAAAAATTGGATAAAGTGAGCAGTTAACTGCATCTCAAATGTTCAATATTACATTCTTACTTGGTTCTACACCAAGATGCATAAGCTCTTTGTGTGTGCTGAATGAAAAGCAAACCTTATATATTTATAGGAAAAGTTATTATTATCAAAGTTCAACAAATTAATATTCATAGCTCCTAAAATCTAATGGAGTTGCTTGATTCTGTGGTTCCTAACATCATTACATCATAGTTCTAATACTTAGTTGTTGAAACTGTGGTAATTTGTCAATATAATATAATATAATACAATACAATATATATTATATGTACTTAGTACAAATGCATTTGTTTATTCTATTTTTCGCTGTTGTATTGGGTGTCTAAAACTCATTATTCCTATTTTGGAATAAGCTGGATGATGCTCGCTTCTGAGTATCCACCAAATCCATCCTGAAACAAACACTTTTAATGTTTGCTAGGATGGACTCATTTAACATGGAGGCACTGGACGTCACAGCCGCTAATAGCGCAGGAACTTCCAATGCAAAGTACATTCACGAAAATATGCCACAGGCTTATAGATGCATCGGTGGTGAACTACTAAGGTTTCAGTCTGATCATCGAACAATGTTTTAGTCATGAAGGTTTAAATAAATGTTTTTTTTATATATATTTTTCAGTAAAAACTTACAAAAAGTCTCTTTAAGTCCCATAAAGTTGCCATGAGCTGTTTTTGATCATTGGTGCAAAAATGGTAAGCAGTGCCAACTGCTTTATAAGGACAATTTTTCTTTAACTATGTAAACGAGTTACTAAAGAAAAATAATCCGTTGTCCTTTTTTTTGTCGTGTCCCTTAATTTTAATTATGCTGTTTTTTCTTTATCATTTTCTAACTAGCAGCTGAGTTCTTTGCAGAACAGCTACAATATGTTTAACACTGCTAAGGGAAATCTATTGCATTTCTTTTTAATTAGAGGTAAAGAAAGGGGCTAATTATAGAATGCATATTAATATTCAAAATTTTAATTGTGAAAAGGATTTTACTGTTAAGAGTACTAAAAAGTAAAATTTTAATAACATTTGTGAGAATACTATAAAAAAAAAATTTAAAAAAGTGCAAGAAATAGAATTTGTATTCTCACCTTGACACTCCATAGCTGCCACCTCATAGTATGTACCCATGGGACATTCTTTGAGACATGAACCTTTATAGAGTCTGGGACTGAAGGTCGAGCAGGTCTCACAGTCATCTGCCAGCGGCCCAGAGCAGCTGCCACAAGTAGGGTGGCACTGAGCACAGAGGCCCTCTTCCATGTCCTCATAATAACCCACAGGACAGCTGGCCTTGCACACACCGTTCAGCATCAAGTAGAGGAACGTACATTCTGTAGCATTAAGATAAGGTGGAAATCAGACCTTTGTGAGATCAAGTTTTGGCAATAATTCAGAACAGATCTGATAACTCACTGAAACAGGTTCTGTCATCAGAGCAAACGTCACAGTGAGGGGGGCAACGTCTGCAGGTCCCATCGTCTGCTGGGTATGTCCGCAGTGAACAGTTTAGTCTGCATGTTCCACTCTCCAGGTAATGGCCATCAGGACAGGACAGACACTGAAATTTGTTTTCATCACAGGTCAAACAGGAGCTATCACAGGCCTCACATAATCCGTCTGGAGTCTCAAAGGAGCCCCTGGAAATGAAACAAGGAAGACATTTGACATGAAAGTAAGTGGAAACGGCAAAATTACTTATTTGATTCATTTTAAGATTCTCTCCTATTGCTCACTCTGGGCAATTTGACCAGCATCGGCCTTGGTGCAGAAAAAGTTTGTTATTGCCTTTGGGGCAGCTGATGCAATTATCACTGCTGTCCACACAATCCTCACAGTTTGGTGAGCACTCTTCACATAGCCGGGTTGCAGGGTTTGCGTAAGAGCCTGATGGACACTGCACTACACAAGAACCCTCCAGATCTAAGAAATATCCTGGGAAACACACAAACATTCAAACATATACGTGTGTAAAAATTGGAATCATGTCCCAACGTGCTGTACAACAGAACAGTCGACATTTGTACCTTGGAAACAGGAGGAACAATCCAGTGCCTGTGGGCCAAAGCAGGTCTTACAGGATGCATCACATGAGTGGCATCCACCAAATGTCCCTGGAAATTAAACACAAGTTAAATAAATAGCAAGACTTATTTTACCCTTTTCCACCAGTAGAGGGTAGCATAATATCTTAAAACTGTAGGTGTTTTCAGACCACAGTTAATGAGAGCACAAAGTGTATAGAACTTGCAAAAAATAGCCTTATAGAAAAGGCCCTAAATGCTTAAGACTAAGAAATGTACCAAATAAAAGCATATTTGCAAAGAAACCTTTGCCCTGAAAAAACTGACACCAAGTAGTGGTATCCTTGACTCTCATGTGTTTTCCTCTTATCTGAGTATATTTGCATTTTGTCAAATGTCATACATTCAGAAACATACATTACATGTAAAATTGTAAGTTTGTCTGTACTATTCCTACAGGTATTTAAAAAAGATGTAATGATAGATGAGCAAGTATTAGGCTGAATTAAATGTTAAGTTAAATCCTGTATTTTGCCTGCAAAAAACAGCCTAAATAAAAAATGTTTTTTACAAAATAATTGGAGACCAGCCTGGATTCACTGGAAATAATTGTGATGGCATAGACCCATCTGAGACCTTTTGAAAGGTCTTCCATTTGTGTGGAAGCGAAGATTTTGGGAACGACAAGAACCTTTCCCACAGTATTCGGGATAATGAAAAACAGTGGAAAGGTCTGGAGCAGACTTCCTGGAGGTGTCTAATTGGTGATGAAGGGCCTCGGCCAGACAAGTAACCAGCAGAGTCTCACAAGAACCTTTGCAGAAGAGCAATTATCACCGTAGCTTTGGACTAATCAGGCTTTTATGATGCTGGAAGAAGCCAGTCCTCATGAAAAGGCACATGATGTCCTGCTGGCAGTAAAAGGGCTCAGAAACCATAAGAGACAAAGTCATCAGAACTGATTGAAAAAAGTCCAAAGTAGCTATGCCAACAGATGAATCTAACAACATGTAAACAGCAGCAGCTCCTCTTGTTTTTTGTCACAAGATAACCACAAGCATCAAAATGTTTTAAGGTTTTTTATAGGACAAATAAACATAGAGTAGCACATAACTGTAGAGTTGATAGAAAAGGTAATAAACAAAACTCTGCTGCATTTGGAGGATAAATAGCCCTGAAAGAGTCTAATTAGTACAAAGAGTCCAACTGTGTGTAGTTTCATTTGGGTTTAAATGCACATTTGAAGGCCTCTGAGATTTGTGAAAATGAACACTAAAGCAGAATGATTGATTTTTACAACATCTCAAATTTTAATGTTTCAGCTAGAAATAAAAGAAGCAAGAACCAAAGAACATCATTATCAGAGAAGTATAATATAATATAATTTGAAAGGGTTTTAGTCTTGTTAATATTCTGCCCAGCATTAAAAATTCTCCATTTAAACGTAGTTAGTGATTCATCCTTCTTCTAGTATGATTAAAATAGCTTTTATTTGGGTAAAAATTATGTATTTATAAGTTTATTTTCTGCTGTTTAGAAACACACTAGGCTGTACAACCTGGAAGTAGTGCAAAGGTCAGATTATAAATATGCACAACCAAAGCAAAGCTCATGTGGATAACTCTGCATGACCAAAACAACAGAGCACTGTTTCCCTGTGCTGTTGACCCAGACACAGAGGGAAAGTATTCAAAGAGCCAGACACAGCCAATGTTTGTGTGTTTGGTCTCACTGCCCCTACAGGGAGAAGCCACCTTACTAAGGTAGCTACCCTTGAACAGGACACATGATCCCCCCTTTGCTCCTGGGACAGGAAACTAAACTCTAACATGCCTCTGAAGGTGGAAAGGAAATCATTTCTATCCTCAGATCAATGCCGTCTCTGCATAATTATTTTTGTGCGCAGTCTTAGGTATGATGCCAGTGTGCCAACAGTTTTTTTCACTTTGCTTTCTCTGCCTAACTTTATTATAAGGAATCACATATAAATCACCAGCACTTAAAATCATCCATCTCTAAAATGACAAACACTTGGCAATAGTCAAAATAAATAAAGACTGCACTTCCTCTTTTAATTAAACTGTAATTTATAGTGTTGGGTTCCGATCCAGCAAATAACAGATACAGATGACAAATGACTGGAAGAAGGGAAACCGAACAAATAATTAAAACATCTTGCAAAACAGTTTTAAACTGATGCAATGTTCTGACTATAACTCATACATATCTATTTTAATGGATGTGACTCATGATTCTTATTGTTGATGCTGCTATTGTGGGTTATTGTTTTGATCTCCAGGCAAGTGCAAAGCATCAGGTTAAGAAATGTTGACCCAAAGAGCAGAGAAGGTAATGTATAAAATATTATTAATGCTTTAACTTAGAGGATGGAACAGCTGTCTAACATATTCCATAAGTACGGTTTCTGACTAAAAATGGTGTTTGGACACAACTTTGGATACTGCTGATTAAATGAATACTGAACAGAGTATAAGTGTAAGTGAATAGGTTTGGTTGTTTCAGTTACTTTTGGGCCTGATTTGAATGTCATTTTCACTGCATTCTACAACCTGGAGTTAGTAGCAGTTTGTCACATACTCAATTAACTACACAACGTGCAAATGCATGGTGTGAAGAATAAGTCATGGCAGCCAGTGTGCTGTTTTATTGTGGTGGAACTTTTACAGTTACATTTATTTGTGTCACCACTGAGCTCTGTGATGTTGTGCTATATTTATTTTTGTTTATTTCTCTTAAACTGCACAAGAAAATAATGAAATTATGCTCATAAGCCCTGATCTACTAAAATCCCAAATGAGAGGCACGAAATTGAATAAAATAGGCATTAAATTGAATAAATGAAAAAATAAATTGAATGAAACTAAAGTTCAAAATACGTATTCTATGTGCAATTAAGGGGCATGTTCTGAGTGATCTGTTTAGATTGCATAAGCAGATGATAATGGGTAAAAAAAAGTGGTGCGGATCACTTATTTAAATGAGGATTTCTTATTGTACTTTTGTGTATTTACATACCTTTAGTAGATAAGGCCCCATACCTTAGTTATACATTAGAGAACAAATAGATAACTAAGAATAGCTATGCAAACATTTAAATAGGGAAAGAAATGTCTACAAAACAACATTCCAAACTTTGAAAATCTTACAGAGCACTGTTCTATCGACCATCTGACAAAAAAGGGAGCAGCACAGCTAGAGTCTAAATTGACATGGCTGTTAATTTCGTTTAATAACAAGCTATGAGGCTGATAGTACCTCTGAAGGAGCTGCTGAGATTCAGTGCACAGGACAATCTTTTGTTTGAAATGTTACAAATGTAGACTTGATGAAAGTGTGGCAAAAAATGTGCCTTTTTTTGAAAGATTTTTTTTTTTAAATACTCTTTTTGCAAAAAATGAGATAAATAAGATGAAAATTCTGCTTTTTTTCTTTTTTCTTTTACACAATAAACTATGTGGACAGACTAACTTTAGAGATAATGATTCTCCACAGTGGAAGATAGTGATCACAGCATCATGTTATAGAAATACTTTTCTTTAGCAGAAACAAAGAAAATATGAAGAGTTGGTGGCTACATTTAATTGACCTAGATTGTGGGTATCCAGGAAGAGAACTTGTTAGGACCACTTGAAACTGGGGCAGAGGTTCACCTTCCAGGAAGCCAGCTTCTTCCTAGACGTTCTGTATCAGTCAAATAGGTTACTTCTCTGACCTCATGCTGATGAAGATTCTCAGTCATCCAGGTCATAGTCATTCCATAAAAGTTCAAAAAAATCCACTGGACTTGGTTTCCAAGATTTGAAGACGTTTCGCCACCTCTCCAGGAAGCTTTCTCAATTCAAATGTGAGTTTGAATTGAGAAAGCATGTTTCCAACATGCATGTTTCCAAGCAGTACAAGGCTTTGTCTATATAAGACTCAAACTCACTGCGGATCCAGACATTTGAATTGAGAAAGCTTCCTGGAGAGGTGGCGAAATGTCTTCAAATCTTGATGAATCAAGAAGAACATTTTTAATCTGAAAGACAACAGGTCTAATCAACTAGATCCCAGATTCACTGTAGAACAGACAGCTACAGGAGATTATGACTGTAGATATCAATTAACAGCTACAAAGACTCATTATAAAAAAAAAACAAATTGAGTTAAAACAACATTTAATTTCCCTTTTCATTAAATTAATTAAAATAATTGAATCTGAACTGAATTGCTCAGATTAATTTTCCAGAAAATGTGTGAATACTTGGCACAGAGAGCCAATGGTTTGAGAAGCACATGCTACATTAATCAAATACAGCGCTCACCATCAATACATGGTAATGATTTTGTACTCAGGGATTGAAAACAGGGTCCTTGGTTTCTCTGATGCTCTGTTTGATCTCTCCCTTGTCTGACTTCACTCAATTCTTGGACAGGTTTCTGGTCTGGATAAGATTACCTCAGCATGCCAGACATACATTCAACAATCAGATTAAACCAATTTATGTGAGCTTTGTTTCATATATTGTTAAGAGTAACACGAAATCTCGCACATTCCTTTCGACAAATCTTTTCCACTTTCCTCATACCAACTTTTACCATTATTATCTTGCCATAAAAAAAGCTAGCAAACTGTGCAGTGATTTTGAATTGCAGGCTTAAATGCTTGATAAATGTGTCGGGTTAAGCATTATGAAATGTACCAAAATTATAACTTTTTATATAATCATCCTCAACATTTTTTTAGTATGAGTTGAAATTCTGTGATCATTTTGTTTTATGGAAGACAAAAAGTGAAACAACACACTTAAGGGCAGATTATTTTGGTATTTAGAACATAGAATGAGGCTAAACATTACAGGCATAATAAAACAGTCCCGGTTGGACATTAAAACAACTTGATTTAAAATGGTTAAAGACAAAGAAACATTTTAACCCCTTAATAGTCAGCCAGGGCTAAAACCTGTTGGCTCCTTAAACCTCTAAGTTCTCACTAGAGGTTAATGAACAGCGAAAAAGGTTTTAACATTTTCAAAAAGAAAAAAGTACAATAAAAGTTGGTCTACATAATGTACACACAAAGTCAGAAATACCCTGTTCTTGCTTTATGTAAGGATGCTCCACAGTTTTCCATTTCCACTCTAAAGAAAATCTCACATTGGGTTTTAAACAGAAATAAAATATTTTATGAAAAAGATTGCCCTGGTCACAAATTAATCAGAATACCTAGGATTGGTGTTATAAACAAAATTCTATACTAAAGTCCTGAGCATGAATAAACCTACCGGTAGGACATACTGTATAAAAGCAAGGTCACAACTGGAACCAATAAACTAATGACCTGGTAGTTTGTCTTTGTTTCACACAGTTTTAATTAGCAGGACTGATGGTCCAGATTTATTTTTAACAACAATGAGCAGAATGTGATGATGAAGCACCTTGATTGCTGCATCCTTAATTCTACTAATCAACCCTCATCATCAAATAGATTTAAGATTAATCTTTTCACCAAATGCAGTCGCCTTACTGGTAATGAGTGTGAAAAACAAAAAGAGTGGATTTTACATCACTTCATCTTGGTGAGTCAAAACTATTTAACATTTATTTGGTTTTACCGTTGCCCTTTTCTTTCTAAAAAGAAACAAACTGTAAAATCCATTTAGTAATTGATGCAATATATTTCTACTCACCCAAGCACACGATTTGAAAGTTCAACCTTTTCATTTGCTTCAAACATTCAAGCTAGATTTCTCCTTTAACGTTAATCATGAGACAAAATTAAATGAGACTTTCACTCACCATCAAAATACTGGCCAAGCGGGCAGTTAACCTGGGGGCACTGTCCATGCAGAGGAAGATTACCGCTCAGACAGAGGTCACATTCTGTGGAATGAGGCCCATGACACTTCTGGCACACGCTGTGGCAAGGCTGACAGCGCCGCCCACTGGAATCACTGAAGGTCTGCGGTGGACACTGCTTTATACACTCCCATCCTGTTGCAGCAGAGACGAAGTGACTTCATTGCTGTGATACAGTTCTCAAAAACTGAACACAGACCTTAGTAAAGATACAACGCACTTTACACCTCACTGTTTAAATATAAATAATATCAGCTTACTGAGGGGTGAGCATGCATTTTGATTTTTGGTTATTCCAATTATTTGTTCTTAAAATCATGTTTTAATGTGAATACGGTAAGTAAGTAAAAAAATTAGTTTTAAATGTATTATCTCATATATCTCTTATATTTAACACTATCCAAATCGACCTGGGATTTGTTTAAAACAACGGCAATGACAATTTAATGACAGCAGCTGTCATCAATTTCATCAACTATCATTTGTAAAACTGTCAGTGAGTCTTTCAGGAGATAATTTCTGGCTCAGTTTTCTTGGTGACATTGTTTTAAGTCAGTAATGTTGGGGGGTTTGTAGGGGGTGCCTGTTTATGCTCACATTACAGTATCTCATTTATATTTAGGTTGGACTCCTTTTTGGCTAATCCAAAGCTATTTCTACGTTGTGCTGAACCTTTCACAGATTGCTAAGTTGGTTTGCTTTGGGTATTTTTTTTACTCCATCATGAGACCAAAGATGGTTTATGCTTCAGGTCACATAAATGTATCCTCTGACAGGGAGCGGGATTCATGGTAACATACATTATGGGACATCCTTCTTTTTCTGTGCCAGCTGAGAAACCCCAGACCATCACACTACCATTAACGTGTTTGACTGTAGGGATGACTACCTTCTTCTTAAACACTGTGTTAGGTTTATGCCATATTTAACAGGGACACTTTGCCACCATAAAGTTTCAGTGTTTTCTTGTTGGTTCACAGAACATTTTTCACAAAATCTAGGGCTGGGGAAAAAAATTTTGGATAGATTCCTTTATATTTTTGCAAAATTGATGTGTAGGTAATGAGATCGATTAGTTTTATAGTGACGCACGTGACGCTCACATTCAAATGAGCAGACGTGTGCAAATGCCGACCCAAGTAACGCACCGCTCAGCACTCGTCCCAACTGAAGTCTGATGTCTGGAACCATTTTTGATTTAAAACAGCTGAAAATAATGTGCCGGATATGTGACATTAAGGTGACTTCCCACCACATTGATAATGATTGGCACCTCGCATCTCGTGCTACAGACCACCAAGATTACTTCAAGCCAGACAGCTGCAAATATAGCCAATAGGTTGACTGAAGACATTGACAAATGGAAACAGAAAACACCCCGTAGTTGTTAAAGACAGCGCTACAAATAGGGTTTGTGCAGTAAAGATAATGCAGCTCATTAGCACTTTGAGATTTGAAATCAAATGTAAAGTGCATTATAAATAAAATTCATTATTATTATTTTTATTATCATGCAAGTCTGCTGTGTCATGTCTGCTTGCTTGTGTGAGGCTTCACTTTTTCACTTTTCACAAACAAGTTGCCACTTTTGAGACAGTTTTGTTCACATCTCAAGTTTAAACTGATTTACATTAAGTTTGCACTTTGTGTTCAATATGACTGTAAAAAATAAATTACATGAGTATTTTGAAACACAGTTGAACCACTTTCATTATTGTAAAAACACATCGAATTGAAATTAATCGATTAAGAACTGTATGAATCAAAATCGAATCAATTCGCGACTTTGGCCAAAATACCCAGCTCTAATCAAATCTCCAAGATGTTTTCAGTACATTTCAGACAGGCCTTTTGACTGCTGTTGGTCCACAGTGGTTTTCACTCTGAAACTCTAATAATGTCAGTTTTTAACAGTTCCTTTCATGTTAAACATGAAAGTGCTGGGATATGATTGGCCTGCAGAGCTTCAGCATGCCTTATTTATGTAGTTATAAAGTTATTTTGGTGGGTAGGCCACCTCTGGGAAGTCTGACCACTCTTTACTCGTCTCCATTTGTAGATGATGGCTCTAATCGGGATAAGCCGGAGCTTCAAAGCCTTAGAGGTTGCATCACCATAAAATGTAGATTACTTTGTTTTTTGTCTTTTCTCTGACATATTCGATATGGTGTAATGGTTATGAAGATATTTTAGCCAACTTCATGTTGGCAGACAGGATTTTATTGAAGAGATTTCTTGATTCTGTAAATTAGGCAGTGATTAGGACTGGGTGTGGCTGGTGAAAATGACCTGTTTTCTAAAAGATGCTAATATATACCGGTATTAACAATTTAAGAAGGAAGTAAATTAGATTTTCAAATAGGGTCAGACTGGATTAGATAATAAAATAGTTATGAAAGAATTAATATATGAGTTTATTGTTCTTTCATTACATTATTTAATGATCTAAAACATTTAGCTGAGATTTAAAAGAATAATAGAAGAAATCTGTTAAGGTGCAACTGTGGTTTTCCTAAAGGAAGAACCACCATTGTAGTTTCTTATTTCCTTTTCCGAGATCACCTCTTCTCCAAATTCCACCCCTCATAATGCCTATCTTAAGACTGAACATTCTTGTAAGAGATAACAATTCATAGGGACTCTTATTTAATCACAAAGTGGGTACATGTAAGCTTGATTTGAACAAAGAGACCGAACAGTGGCTCATCCTTATTAATAAAATACCCTTTTTTAGCTGATAGCTTATTGCCTATACAGAACAAGACAATGCTAATTTATTCTTTGCATAAACCATACATTTGCATATCTTTTCTACCAGATTTGCTGACACTCACCTGATTTGCAAACCAAATGAAGACTCAAGGGGGCCATTATTTGTTTATAACCAGGATAAATGCTCGCAGACACACACTAAACAGGCACTTCTAGTACAATATAGGAACTGTCATGATCTGTCACTTTCACTTCACTTTAATTTTGTCATTAAGTAGCGAAGAAAATATAAACTCAGAATAGGAGGTTTTTACACTTGTACCGTTAAGGAAGTAACCCGGCTGGCAGGCGAGGCAGCGGGTGTTGGTGCTGCAGTCCTCACATGGTGCTGGACATGGCAGACAGACTCCACCAACATGGTCCTCAAAGGTGCCCTGAGGGCAGTGTCTGCGGCACTTCTGTCTGAAACTGTAAAGAACCATTCATGGAAATACCACCAAATACCATTCATGATATTAATTTAATTAAATTTAATTAAAAATCTATAATAATCAGAAAGTTAATTGTCTCTACGAGCATGTGTAATTGGTTAATGGCTGTTTGACTTTTAGCTGCCATGCTTTTTAAACAAGATGAAGTTTCTCCTTTTTTTGTCCCACCCCTGAATGAGCAGAACAAAAACATGCTACAGAAAAATCAAACAGCTGCTGTTTTCAAAGCACCGAAGGTGACTGCTGCTGCAAGCAGCTTCACTGCACTTGAAATTGAGATGAGATGAATTGGGAGACCAGGGATCTCAACATCCCCTGTGTCAGTGCACAACACACCTGCAGCTGCATTGTTGCTCCTTTAAAAGGTTTATTCAGCGAAACAATAGCATGATGGCTAACATACTGTAGAGGAGAAATTCACGTAGGGATGTTCTGTTCTCTTAAAAGTTGAATCATTTCTTTATTCCTTTGCAATATTGAGATTAAGCATATCACAAGAAAAATTATTCACTTCGAAGAGATTTGCATATAGTTCAAAACTTTTAATTACTAGGAATGCATACAAATGTTTGCACACTTTAGAGGTTAAAACTTAATATCATTCCTATTTATTAAATTAATTTGAATGGACTATCAAGAACATGAAGGACCAGGTGCTTTCTTCAGCTTTATGAAGAGTAAGACCACATCCTGTTCTCCCACCTGTCACTACACAGTTGCAGCCAGCTGGCTAAATGAAAGATTGTTACACTTTTGTCATGATCACAAAGAAAGACAAATTGCACAGCCTGGAAATAATATTGAGCACAAAAAGCTCTGGTGGTTGTGTTGTGGATGCTAGATAAAGGAGAACTACCCATCACTTTTCTGAAGAAGAAGCCTTCTGCAGGATAGATATGTGAGCAGATGATGATGGCTTAGAGGTAATAAAATAAAAGTTAGGTTTCTAAGAAAAATCAAATCCTACAGTTCTTGTTTTATGTCCTTATAACTAATCTAATTTTAGACGCATTGTTTAATAGTTTGTCTCAGAATTATTGTTGATTTCTTATTCTAAGTAAGCAGCTCAAGCCTACCAATTACCCTCTAGCTTTCCTAATAATGTCCCTCTTGCTGCATGTTGTGACACCTCCCTCTATTGCAGAATATGACCACTGACAGTGCAAGCTGCACTTCCAACTGTGTTGCCGTGGATTTGGTGATAGGATGTGGTCGCTGTTTGAGGACAAACAGCTGGAGACGCCACACCACATCCATCAGCTCACTCACAATAGCTAGAGATGGAGACCCGGATATGTCTGAAGCCGGGAGACGATGCTCTGCTTGAGAATCTGTGGGATATTTAAGAAGCCCTCTCTGCAAATATTAGACCATGCATTCCAGGAGTGCATATTTGCAATCCATCGAAACTTTCAGATAGGTCTTTTACCACATTATTTTGCAAGAAACTAGTGAAACTCCCTGTAATTTATGTATAAAGTCCTACAAATGAGCGGGTTTAAACTATATTCCAAATGCAGCTCAGCAATTTTCTAGTTTAGCTGCACTTCTTTAGCACCATGGGGAGAAAGATAAATGTCAACAAATACCAAACATCCATCATGCTGAGATTTTTTTTTCCAACAGTAAGCCTTTTATTCAAGAGTGACAAAGGCCCAAGGGATTCATAGTTACACCAAAACTGTATATATTTTAAACCTTTAACATTTTTCCTTTTTAGCTGAAGGCTGAGACTGAAATACCACAAACTCTTAAAACACTGGGAACTGTCACAATCTATCCCAGAGCGGTGGCTCTTTCGCTCTATGATTGACTCATAGTTTATTGGGTTTCTTTTATTGGTTTGTGTAACCCATGGTAGATGCAATAAGAACCGTGGCTACAGGAATTACTAAGATGGCCTGTCATTTCATATTTTTAAAACCATTACTCTGACTCACCTATATGCACTGAGGAAGACTGAGTATTTCTGTGAACCTCTACAAGGAGGTAAGTGAATAGTTTTGCTTAAAACTGAAAATCTGAAGTTTGTTAGCTATGCATTCATTTCTCAGTGTTCGTTCCCTGCATGACATGCTCTGTCAGGTCTCTTCTAAGCTCAAACTGAGTTTCAGGTAACAGATTGTGTCTAAAAAAGGAGGGTAACCTGACTCACACCATACCAGGAGGCCTAAACTCAGGGGAGGAGTATACAATTGGTGTTCTGTTCTAGCTTTTAAACTACTTTTTCTCACTGGTTCTAAGAGATAAGCTGCTGTAAACAGGAATCCTGGCAAAAGGTTCTTGCAATACCAAAAAGGAAACCAAGCTGAAATGGTTGGGAAATGTTCCTGAATAAATAATTATATGGACAGATATATTTTTTTCAGTAGATAAATCAAAATAAACTGTAACGTGTGTGAAATTTGCGCATTGTAGGCATACATGAGTTTTTTTCTGGTTACAACAGTTTTCTTTCAGCTGCCCAAAAATACAGACACATTAGAACAATTGCTGAAAGGTTAAATTTTGCACATGTGAGATTGCTTTCCTGTGTATGTTGCCCTAAGAGAGACTGGCTACCTGTCTAAAGTGTAGCCCGCCTCTCACCCAGCAACCAGCTACCTGTGATCATGTAAGGTAGATGGACAGATATAGACCACCTACCATTCAGAATAACTACATAAAACAAATGTATAGATTAAAAATTATGTTTCACTTAAGTTAATGAAACTTTTTATAATACAAAAACAGTTTGATAAAATATCTGCTACGAATAAATCAATATATCTTCTAATAACCGCTTATCCTTCTAGATGTGTGGGGGCAGCTTAATTCCAGTGGTCACTGGTGGGTGAATGCCCGTCAGATTACTTGTTCACCACAGGATGAACAGTTATTGATGCGCAATTTCACTCACTACGAAGAGAAACTCAGAGAGACCAATAAACTAACTGTGCATATTTCCCAGCTGCTAAATGAAGAGTACCCAGAAAGCATCCATGCATGTGAAAAACATGAAACCACGCAGAAAAACCAAAGACCAGGATTTAAATTACAGACATTCTTGCTGCAAAGCAACAGTGTAACAAGGAGAAAATGCATTAGTAGGAAATCCTAAGCTTCTCACAACAAAAAAGGCACAGTGCAGGGCAAGAGTAAACATCCCTCCTCTACTTTTTTTTCTTCTTTTAAATGTTTCCATTACAACCACAAACATGGTGGATTTTATTGAGATTTTGTCTAATGGGTGTTTTTTTAAACCAATGAGAACGTTTTTTGTATTTGCTGTGTCAAAATAAATTTGATCAAAAAGAAAATATTTTAAAATATAATTGAAATTTGAAAATTAAAGGGTGATATTTCTTTCATTGTTTATAAGCTAATAGTATGTAAGACAATGGAAACCTTACCTAGTAGGAAAAACACTTTAATGTAAAAAAAAAAAATGGGCCAATAGTGCAATTCCATATTCATGAAGACCAAAGAGGAACTGATTAAATCTCAGTTTTTTTGTGTCTTTGTAATGAAAAAATTACAGATTTTGTATAGAATGTAATGGTTCCTGTCTGTTCCTACCTGGGAACCTGCTGTCTGCAGTCCCTTGACATCAATCCCTGCTCCTCTGCTGCTCTGGCAGTCAGGGCCGGGCAGTTACACCCACGACTACTTTACCAGGTTTAGCCGCATGTCTTTTATGACAGTTACTTCTTTCGTTTAAGATCTGTTGATCTTGCTGATATTTATGGACTATGCGCAATTAAATGCTGTACATGCTGTCGGGGCAACATTCTTGCAAAGATGAATCAGCAAACCTATTTTAAGCATATTACTGCCACCTTAAGGGTTGGAGTGAGATAGTTAGTATTTTTATACTTGTTAAATGTAACTAGGACAAAAAAATAGCACATTTTGGAAATTGCATCTATATTAGTTGTGAATATACTGAAATTTTTATTATTTATCCAGCCCCAATGATCACCATGATACAGGTCTGATCTGCAAATATTCAGAGCTCACCTGGGAGAATATTTTAACAGAATGACTAGAACCTGTGCACGAAATAAATCTGACCTCAATGGAAGTGGAAAAAACAAAGTTGTTCATAAACACAACAAGATTTTTTTTCTGTTGTTTGTATGTTAATTGTTTTTTACTACAAACAAAATTGAGGAGATCAAACAGGAGACAGAAGATTCCTTGGTCAGATTATTAGCTCAAAAACTGAATGTTTAGGTTCACTTTCATGACATTATGCAAGGTAAAAAAAAAAGAAGACGAAAAAAGCATTGAATGTAAAACATCCGAAATAAATCTTAAAATCTAGACTCGAAAAATCTGTCACTATATGTAATGCAACTGAGCTTGTGCTTTCTTGTATAGAAGAATATGAAAAAAATATTTGATGTCTAAACATACAAATCTACAAAGAATTTAGGCACTGAGGACCAACAAAAAAGTCTCTGGTTGCAAGAAAACATTCAAGGAGTGGGAGTACTTTTGCTTTTGACAACAGTTATAAAGAGCTGCAAAGATGAGTTCTTCACAAAGAAAAAAATAATTTGGCTTTATTTGCTTTGCAGCATTTTTGTTTAAAGAAAAGAAAATGAGACCCTATTGTATGACTTTTCTACCAGCAAACATGTGAGCAGTGAAAATGTGTATTCACTGAATAAAAGGAAAGAAAAAGGAAATAAATACTCACAGAAAGTAACCTTGAGTGCAGCTGCTGCACATCTCAGGGTCTTCTCAGTATAAAGGAGAAATTGAGATTAGTAATTAGAACTCAAAGGAAAAAACAAACTGCACTTTGCACCAACATCATCAGAGTCCTGATGTAAATTGATAATACTTTTTTACATTAGAGGTTAAAGAGGGGTGCTCCCATAGAAAGCCTATTTACCTGTAGAACATGTTTTGCAGCCCATTTCACAGTCAATACACTCTTCTGTATCGGGGTCCAGCATCTGCCCTGAAGCACACAGAACCATAAACAATAAACAACAATTTCTATCCAGTTAAATCCTACACATGGACTCAGCTTCGCCGTTTTACCTATGTCACAAAGCGCTGGTTGACAGACCCCGTTCTGAAGTTTGTAGCGTTCCCGGCATTTGGCACACAAATTGCCATCTGTGCAGAGTTCACAATTGGCTATGCAGGGCAGGCAGGCATAGTGACCCCTGTCAGGGTAGAATCCCCTGGGGCAGTGCGTCCGACAGCGACCTTGGTGCAGGAAACGCTCCTGTCCGTCTTCATCTGTGGAAGAAGAGGAAGACTCTGAACCTCCTGCCATGAAGCCAATTGTATTATCATTGCTTAAGAATGTGCATAAATCACTATGGTTCTCAAAATAAATGAAGGGATAAATGCAGTCCAAGGTATAAAAGAAAGATGACACAGCACAGTTACTGCAGGACTGCTCAGTACCTGTCACTAAAACAGATGGAGAGGCTCACCAAGAGAATCAGTGCCAATGATTAAGAACTAGGACATTAAGGGAATTAATCAGATGATTAATAAAAGCGGACACCAGCAGCAGGTAATGAGTGCATCTCAAATATATTGACCACAACTAACACATCGCTGCATTAAGACAAATTGGTAATGTTTCAAATGAGATAAATCTGGCTAGAAACTTTATTCTGAGGCGTATTACTGCAAATACGGGAAAAGCATTTATCCCAGTAATATGTATTTTTTATTTTGATAAGGGTATTTTAATTGTCATGTTGGAATGCAATTCACCACGGTTGGAAGTATTACTCTAAATAACAACATAGAGAAAAAAAAACTAAATAAATATGGTTATGTGTGATAGAGATGAGAGAAACTGGAAACTGAATACATGACGAAAAGATAAAAAAAAAAAACATCAACTGACATCTGTCAGTATTTGGAAAAAATGAATACCTGCTCTCAGTAAAAATCAATATTAGCGTGGCAAGTCATAACTAATGGCCAACGAAAAGGATTCCATGTTAATTTAATTCAGTTTGTTTGTTTTCATAGTGCCAAGTGCTTTACTATGGAGGACCAACTCTGCCATATTTAAAAATAAATACAGAAATAAATAAATGCTCAATAAATAAATAAGCATACAATTAATTCCCACCAAAAATACAATAAACAAATAAATGTAAGTAGAAATTTAATTATACAGTGAGACATAAATGTATGTAACTCTTTTAATTAGCTTCTTTATTTACAGTATTTGCCTTTGTAATATTTACCTTATTTAATTTTTTGTCCTTTATAATCTTCAACTTTATTTTTTAATTACTTATATTTTTAAGTATGTATTTATGGGCATGTTATAATATTTTTGTATGTTTTATTCTTCCTTTGTATTTTTTTTACCCTAGTTATTTCTTCGACGCTATTTATCGGTCATTATAGGCAATTCAGTAAACCCCAGTTCACAAACAATTCTGTTAAATTTAGGGCTGCAAGTCCTGATTATTTTGCTAAATGATTAATCTATCAATTAGTTTTTCAATTAATAATTGGATAACAAAAGTTTCCTTAAAGAAGATGTTTTTACAGAATTAAACTACGCGAAACTATATTTTTCCACTTGAGGAGTTCTGCATAGAGCATATTGGCAGACAAAAACGTTTTTTATTTGTTATGCAGAATGTGAATATATATTTTTTGAACTTTAGTATCATTAATCTCTATCAGTTAAAGCTTGTTCAGAGTATCTATACTCTGAAACTTAACAATTAAATGATTATTTCAATAATCGAATTGAGCACCATTAATTAAATTCAGTTATCATTTAAGCTGGTTAACTAATTATCACACAAGATAATTTTATGCTGGGAAAAACCAAAGAGCTCTCTATACTCTCCTTATTGTTGTGAAACATAGTGGTGGCATTGTTATAGACGGGGTCATGTTTCCAAACTTCTGGCTGCTCTAGTGAGGACTGCTGGAGGGCCTAATCCATGAAGGGAAATACCACTATTTCTCTTTGAACTAGCTATGGCCAGGTGTTTTCTGCACACTTTCAGACATAACAGTTCAACACTACCTGAAATGAACAGCAATGTTTGATTAATAAAACAAGTAATGCGCCCAACTACCTTGACCAATATGCTCCCTCTCTGCATAAAACTACTCAAAAGAAAAGTATTGAGTCCTGCTAAAATATGGAGCAAAATTATTAGGATCAATGTGGTAAATGTTAACCAAATCACTGCAGATAGTAAGTCTAAGTGATCAGATTTCACTGCACACTAAAAAAGATGGCATATTATCATGAAGTCAACAAACCAGGAGTGGAATTTTGAAATAAGGAGGTGGGTAGATACTGGCATACGGTACCGATACAGTGCTCTTTATAAGAATCTGAAGATGAAACAATGAAAAATGATTCCATAAACAGATTTACTTAACCTGAAAAGAAAATAGTGCTCCAAAAATGATCATGTCATTCTAGAAGTGTTTTATTTGTTTCTTCTTCTGTGAACAAGTCATAACTTGTTCACTGTTTATAAGCCAGAAATCATGTCACTTAAACACTGGAAATCTACTTTATTCAGTACAAGAGGATATATGTCTCTTTGATTAACAAAGCCCCCATTATGAGATGATCAAATTACTCTGAGAAAAGTAGAAAGAAACATGATCACACCTTCATTTTCTTTTCTTTTTTTTTTTCTTTTTGCCCCTGTGGCAGAAAAACCAGCCAATTCTGAGGCTTTTCTTTGAATGTTTAACAAGAGGGAAGGATAGACCATGTCATGTCTTCAATGCAAAGGGCTTGGTTTGTTAACCATTAAATAGTGCTCCTTTGAAAAAAAAAAAAAAAAAATGATTGTTAACCTTGTTGGAATTTACAGGAGGGAAAAACACCTGAAAACAAAAAAAGGGATATGTAATCATTAAAAAGTTAATATTTCTGTACATATTAATGCATCAGATAAAAGGTTATCGCGTTTATGAGATATTGGAAATGTCACACGTGACAAAGTGTCATAATCTGAGGGAAATTACAGATTGAATTCCTTCAGTTGTTCATTCGTTCAAAAAAGAAAACTATCTACTTGATTTATTTTGCCCTGATTGGGTAGTTTAGGTGAAATCAAACTCACAAACTCCACAGGTAGTGCAGTCAAACAGCTCGTGTCCGTCGCACTCGGAGCAGGTGGGATGACACAAGACGCACTGGTTTTTCAGCAGAAACTGTCCGCTCGGACAAGACGACGAAGGTTTACATCCAATAAATCCCACGTATATAAAGAGAAGGTGGAGGATTGTGGAGATAGAGCTCATGGCTGTGCTGGAGCAGGCTACTGCGTGGAAAGCAGCGTGGAAGGTGGTCTGAGAAAGACGCAATGTCCGCGCTGCAGGTGCGCCGGTGGCTGTCTGATCGATGTGTGGGTGTGTGTGTGTGTGTGTATGTGTGTGGGTGCGTGGGTGGGTGTGGGTGCTCTTGTCTAGCTCTCAGAGTGAGGACCATTTTTCCAATTTATCATCAAATTAAGGACCAGTTGTTGCAAAGTTTGGACATTTATCTGGCCCCC